GATGCTGCCAATTGGTCCAGTGGTGAGAATCTTTGTCTTCTTTACAATGAGCCTAGATCCATATTGGTGGCTGCAGTCCTTGACCCTCTGAAGCAAGTATTTCAGGTCCTCTTCAGTTTCAGCAAGCAGGGTTGCATCATCCGCATAACGCAGATTGTTGATTTTTCATCCTGATAGTACAACATAATAGAGAAGTTCTCATTTCATTTTCTCTCTCAGAGAACCTGCAGTCAAAGGCTATGTAAATGCTATTCCTTCCATCCAATGATTACATTCTACAGGCTTTCAAGATGACATTTTTCAGGAAGACTACAAACACCACCTTTGACATCATAATGTTTTCAGCTGTGCAAAACTCACACATAGCTGTACAGAAAACCAAAACAAACGACCTGAAGAAATGATGTGGTGATGTGGTTGATTGCCTTCGAGTGGAGCACGACTCATAACGGCTTATGGAACAAAAGGCCCTGAAACCTTTTTATGACTATCGTCATTGATCCAAGTTCATCGAGTTTCCAGAGGTGTGTTGTTTAGGAAGTGGATGCCACTCCTGCTTCCAAGAAGAAATTATAGCACTTGATAACAGGAGTCATATGGGTTAATATGATTGGGTTAGAAGTTAATTTAGTGATGGGCATATGCTAATCTGAGAAAGAAAATGATCTTACTAAAACAAAAAGTCCTTTTAAGATGGACATCAAAACATTCCTGTTTGGTTGCTATATGAAGGCTTACCTAAATTGTAATCATAAGTTAATCAAAGCTCAGTCACCTTTTCCCTGTAAAAAGAGAGAAAATTAATACTCCTTAGTAATAACAATAGGCTTGTAGGACAAGAGGTGGACCTTAATCTAGTGCAGATGGTTGTTTTATTTTCTCTGGCTGCTGTAGTAAGATATTACAGACGTGGTGAATCAACACAACCGCAATCAGAGACTGGAAGGCTGGGCTCCTGGTGAAGCACTATTTTTTTGCCTCTTCCTGGTTCTGTTGATGCACAGAGCAGGGCACATCCTCTCACGTGTCGATTCGGATACAGATTGATTTCAGGCAATTTTCAGGGTGCTGTAAATCACACAGGAGGAGATTGGGCATCTCTCTCTAGTTAGAGTCGTGAGCCGCTAGAGAAACCCCACCTTTGGACTCTGGACTGCTCCACTAGACCAATGAATCAAGTGCATGTACCCATTTATCTTCCCTTCAAAAGCAACGCATCAGTATCCCTTTGTGATCTCCAGAGAGCAGGGCGGTGAAAGCCCCTTTTGGGGATGCAACCTAGCAATTCAGTTCAGGATCTGAAAGGAGGGCATAGTGAGTTCTACCACGTGTTGGTGTGTGCCACTGAGTCAGAGGAGACGGTAACTGGCCCTCCAGGCAAATGTCTATGGGCTGTAAATGGGAGGAGATTACCTAGCTTTCTCTCCCGAGTGGCTGGTGGATTTGAACTGCTTTTCTTTGAGTTGACAGCTCAGCTCCTTACCACAAAGCCAACTGAGCTCCCCAGGTGGGCATGACTCCAAGGCGTCTGCATTTTCCTAAAATGTGAGCGCTTTAGACTCTAAAGTCCAAGCTAGACTTTTCTTTCAGTGGGACCTAAGTAGCTGGCTGTGGACTTAGGGAAATCTTACATTTTCCAGGGAAGGAACCACCTAAGGTAACTGGCCACTCATGAGAATGGGAATCTCAGGTTGAAACTAAGATTGACAGATTCCAAATCTTATTCATCGAAGCCTGCCCCAACGTGCTGGTACATTTAGAATGAAGAATTGTTCCCCAGCCTCTCACCTAAATGTACACTTGTGATGACATTCAGAGCCCAGCCCGATAATCCAGGACAATCTCCACAGCCCAAGATCCTTACCTTAATCCCATCTGCACAATTTTATTATAGATCATCTTTTCCCTTATGGTGCTATCGTCGACTGACCCACAACATCTCATTACAGATAGATTTTTCTCTTATTATAGTACTGTAATATCGTTGGAGAACCCACAATCAATACCCACAGAAGTATGGAAATACGGGTATTGATTGTAGACCCACCAACTACAGTATGGAAGTATAATAAGAAAGAAACCTCCCCACACCCCTCACCAACCCGCTGCCTTTGTCTGGAGACCCAGAAGGTGGGTCTGAGTGGTGTACACACAATTTGCCCTGCTGTTGTTGTTGTTGGGAGTTGAGCCAAGTGTGACTGTGACTCCTAGTGACCTTATGAACAACAGATAGAAATGCTGTCCTGTCTTGTGCCATCCTCATTGTTTCTAATAAACTTGAGCCTGTTACTACAATCGTCATGTTGATCCATCTCCTTGAGGTCCCTGTCTTTAGCTGACCTTTGTCCTTTCCAAGTATGATGTCCCTTTGCAAGGAACAGCCTCTCCTGGCAATGTACCCAAAGGATGTGAGACAAAGCTTTGCCATCTTTGCCTCCGAGGAGACTGGGGAAAGTGTCCATGGCTGTTCGGTACTCTAACACCACAACTCAAAGGCGTCAATTCTTCTTCTGTCATTTTGCCCTTAGTTGCTGCAAACTGGAGACATAATCTGGACCAAGGGAGAGAAAGGGCCTATTGGGGCAGACAGGTAGGGGGGTAGGGTTACTCCATGGCTTATGTTATATGACACTAGTGACTTCCAGATCCCAGGGCATCCTTCTAACCTCCAGGAGATTCTGCAGCATCCACAAAGCCTACAGGTCTCAAATCTGGAGCTGGCTGGCTGGTGGTGAAGGGTATTGTGGTTTTGATTCCACTGCTCAATCCCCAGAAATTGCCAAGAACAGAGTTCCTGACATAAAAGTGGTGACCAGCACGGCCCAGGACAGCAGTAAAATGAGGGATCCCAGTGACAGGAGTTAAGGGTTCCTTCCAGCTGAGAGTGGGAGGAGCCGCTTGGGCCATGCCCAACAATCAGAAAACCAAACCAGCTGCTGGGATGTTCTTGTGGTCATCTCACGCCCACCCGAGTGCAATTTCTCTCAGTCGGATTTCCAAGAGCTGAGCTCTCACAAGTCGGTTGGGACATACCTCTGGCTGGATGCGAAGGTTGAGGCTAAATGAGTTGACTGAACAAGGTGGAGTTTCTGGAGAAAGGCCATAGCACCGGATCTGAACAGGCAGCTTCTGTCTCTCAGGCTTTGTGTGCAAAGACCCAGTTAGATCAACATTCCACAAGCTATGCTTTCCTCCCTAGAAGATGAAACTTTGAATCAGATAAGTTTAGGAGATGCTGCACTGCACCCTTTTTCTATGCACATGAGCCTGTTAAGGGCTCTGTTTGGTCCTGAACTAAATAAGCTTTAACTCAATTTAATCTAGCATTTCCCAAACATGTCTAAACATGGAGCTCTTCTCTGTCAACATAACATATTTTCTTGGAACTAATATTCCATGGTAGGGGGCTCTAGTGGCCTCGTGGTAAGAAGAGGTGCTGGAAACCCAAAGATTCAAGTCTACCAGCTGCTCTGCAGGAGATGGAGGGGCCATTCCCTCCCGTGCAATTTACTGCCTCTGAAAACCCACTGGAGGGCCAGCCACTGGTTAGTTCTGAATTGATGGCACAACAACAATATCCCAGGGAGTACAGATCGCACCTCTTTGAACCTCAGTTTTACTATGGAGGATTTTTGGAGCAAGATAGCTCCTCTTCCACAGACCAGGGGATGCATTTAAATCCTTAAGCATCCGGGGAGCCCTTAAGCATCTTCTCCATCTGCGCATACATGATATTATAGCAGATGTGCACACTACTGTCCCCGAGAGGTGCACCGGCCTGTGCCATGCTGTGCTCCAGTCAGGCCACTGGAGGGCTCCTCATGCTTGCTGTTGACCACTGATCGGGCAAGGGTAGCCCCTCGGCAATGCCCAAGAAGGAGCGCTGTGAGTGTGGAGCAGGGTTCCTGTTCTCTAAGCAGCTAGAATCCCCAATCTCGCTCTCTCTCCTGGTCCTCAGCACTGTGTTTTCGGCTGTAGTTCGCTCACATCAAGGCAGGCTTCCTCCTCCTCCGGTGTGTTCAGCTTCTGCTCACCCTCTCCCACGATCTCCTATGGTTGCCTCGGTGCTTTCTTGTTCCTGTGAAGAGCAAGAGTGCTGCTACCCCAGGGTGTTTGCATTTGCTGTTCTCTTTACCTAAAACCCTCTCCTCCCAGATATGTCCCTGGTTCACCCACTCACTTCCTTCAAGTTTCTGTTCAAGTGGCCCTGGCTGGCACCATATATAAGATAATACTCCTCATGCCTACATAGCCCTTTAATCTTAGTTTCTCCTTCCTTTTTTCTTTTTCTTTATACTCCCTACTAACACCTACCACATTGTATATTTATTTGTGTATTGTCTGTCTCTTCACATGGGAATAGGAGATATTTTCCATATGAAGACGTATTTCTCTAGCATTTGTGCACTGAAACATTCCCAGCCGTTTTAACAGCTTGACACGCAGCATGCTGGCTCTTAAAAAGACTAATAAAGAAATTTTTAAAAAATGGATGACGACATTTATACAAGCATATATGTTGTTGTTAGGCAGCATTGAGCTGGAACTCGTAGTTGGTGCTCCAGTGGACTCCAGAGACAGTAAATTACATGTAGATAGATTACCCATCTTTTCCTGAGGAGACGCTCGTGGATTTGAACCACCTGCTTCGGGCTGGCAGTGCAATCGATGCCTTACCACTAAACCACTGGATTTCAGTGCTTGCTTACATATATATGGAGCTCCATACCACCCCCTCTTTGTCTGTCTGTCTGAATCTATCTATCTATCTATCTATCTATCTATCTATCTATCTATCTATCATCTACCATTCTATCATATCTATCTATCTACCATTCTATCATCTCTCTCTCATCTATCATCTATATCTATCTATCTACCATCTATCTTCTACCATTCTATGATCTATCTATCTAGTCATTCTATCTACCATTTTAATCTATCTATCTATATCTATCTATCTATCTATCTATCTATCTATCTATCTATCTATCTATCTCTATAATCTCTATCTCTATTTCTCTCTATCATCTTTCTTTCCCATATCTCTCTCTCTCATATCTCTATTTCTGTATCTTTCTGTCATCTCTATATTTCTCTCTATCATCTCTCTTTCTTTCTCATCTCTATCTCTAGCTTTCTCTCTGTCATCTCTGTATTTCTCTCTATCATCTCTCTTTCTCTCTCATCTCTATCTCTAGCTTTCTCTCTGTCATCTCTGTATTTCTCTCTATCATCTCTCGCTCTCACCTACTGCTTCTCAAGATCAAGATAATCCATTTCTTCTCATGGGATTTACAGCTTCTGAAATGCAGCAGGAGGCTCCGTTATGAATTGGTTACTATTCAAGGTAATGAATTGTGTTGAGATATATATTTACACTACCAATTTCTCAATGTGCCTCTGGAAACTCTATGAACTTTGATAAATGACAATAATTCTAGAAAGGCTTCAGGTCTTTTGTTCTTAGACTTGCTATGAGCCATGCTTGACTGGATGGCAATCAACAACAACTCCAACAACATACATATTGATTTTCTTGTAGTAACCGAGCTTTTTAAAAAACCGCTCTCATTGTTGGAACCTTGGAATTTAGTGGCTTCTTCACAATCTTGTGAGTTGTCCTCATATGACTATTGTACGTCTGTGCTGAAGGACGACTCATAAATTTCACTATGAAATCTTTTCTGGATTTCTTCTTCTGGCTTAAGTCTGCGCCCCCCAAGACCTCCAGATCATGAAATCATATAAAGCTACTGAAATTAACCAAACTTTTCATTTAGAAGTGACTTTTTTAGGGGGAAGGTAAGTTTGACAAACTCAGGAAATCGGACTTTTGACAAAGAGCTTTAGGGTGGCCTGGGTTCCCCCCAGGCTGCTCTGGGTCTGGCCTCCCTGCTGCCTGGGTAAATTTGTACCTCCCTGCTCTTGTAGATCGACGCCAGAGCCCAGAAGTATTGGCTTCACGTCAGCTCCGATGCGTGCCGCCTGGCCCTCATCTGGAAATACGGTGGCATCTACATGGACACAGATGTCATCTCCATCAAGCCCATCCCTGAGGAGAATTTTCTGGCTGCACAGGGCTCCCAAGAGTCTAGTAATGGGGTGTTTGGGTTTATTCCTCATCACCCCTTCCTGTGGGCGTGTATGGAAAACTTTGTTGAACATTACAATTCAGATATTTGGGGCAACCAGGGTCCCCATCTGATGACAAGGATGTTGAAGTTGTGGTGTAGACTCAGAGACTTCCACGAGGTGAGTGACCTCAGCTGTCTGAACATATCCTTCCTCCATCCCCAGAGGTTTTACCCCATTTCTTATCCACAATGGAGACGCTACTATGACGTCTGGGACAGAGAGCCAAGCTTCAATCACTCCTATGCCCTGCATTTGTGGAACTACATGAACCAGGAGAAGAGGCCTGTGGTGAGAGGAAGCAACACGCTAGTGGAGAATCTCTTCCGCAAGTACTGTCCGAAAACTTACAGGGACCTGATTCCAGGCCCCAGTGACTCAGTGAATGAAGTCCTGACTCCAGGAAACACATAGATTTTGTGCTGGGCTGTTGCTACCGCCGTTATTGTAGGCTGGACAGTGCCCACAAATGTTACACTGTCACCTGATTTCTACTTTCCCCAGCAAACTGGCACTTACCACGTATCCCTTAGGATTTGGTTTCTCTGATTATAATAGAAAAGTTCTCCCCAAACAGCAGTCCATGAAACAGAAATGTATTTTGTATTGTATGAAACGAGTCTGAATGCAGGCAGGCCAAGGTTGATGTGAACTCTCCAGACATCAGAATCCAGGCTTCCTGCATCTTTCTGATTGCCCCTCCTGGCTTCTGGACCTCCAGCCCATCACGTCTGCATTCCAGGCTGGAGGTTGAAGGCCGATGGGAAGGTGTTATTATCACTGTTTTTCTTGGTATATATCATTGAGTCAGAACTGAGTCATAGCTGACCTTCTAGCCTGTTTTCAGAGGGTCTAAATTACACGGGCAGAGCAGATGCTTGGATAGGCAGCTATCAGTTATGCTACATGCTTTCTTACCTGCTCCAATATAAATTCTAGGACCAGTTAAATCACTGACAGGGGGGAAAAAATAAAGGGATTTAGTGTCTGGTCCTTATGTTGACATTCATTCAGTCAATGGATATTAAGGAAGCCAAACACTCACTATTTTAGGTATTAAATATATAGATGGATCAAGAAGACAAGGTTTTAGATTTGATTTTATTTTGTCTTGTTGTGTACCATTAAGTTGTATCTGACTGGCACAGGAGGAGATTACCCCTCCTTCTCCAGTGGAGCATCTGATGGATTTGAACTGCGAGCCTTTGGGATTGCAGTGCAGCTTCTTGCCACTAGGCCACCAGAGCTGCCAAGGTCTTAGATTTTAATAACTGGCCAAATGCCTCTGGAATAAACTCCTTTTTTTCTCCTGAATGTTTGTTGTTCTTTACCCTACCCTTTCCAACACAGAAATATTAATTCTACTCCAACATATAAAAAGAAATCATAAACACATTCTTTTCTAAACCCTCAATTAATGTAAAATGTTACCTCTGGTTTTTGTGAGATACAGGAAACAATATTAGCTCCACAAATAAAATCAGCCAAGATTTTCCTACTAAACGCCTTTTGGTATTTTGATTTATGGGAGGGAAAAAAGTTTGTCTTTTTCACCACCTGTAAAATGATGATGCTTTTCCCAACAACATCCAGCCATTGCCTGCCGCTCTCATCGGTTCTCCTCTGAGAATCATCGTTCTGGCAATCTAACTAAAGAAGGCCCTCTAGCCGTGTCTCCGCTCTGGCTCTGCTTTTTCCCTTTGCTGGTTGCGCTTGGCCTCCTGCCACTCTGCAGACCCTTGTCAGAGCTGGGGTTAGCATTCCGGACTCTCTCCCTGGGAGGATTCAAAAGCCAGTCCTCAGGAGCAGGGGAAGCACACATTGGCTCTCATATCCACATCCAGAGAATGAATGAAAAAAAAAAATGACTCTTCAACTAACGTTCTGGACCAAAAGGGCTTCTTCTTTTTTTTTTAATCATTAATTTTAATGAAGGTTTACAGAGACTTTGGGTTTCCATTCATTCATTGTTGCATTTTTCTCCCTGACAACCCCTCCCCCATAATTTGCTCTTAGAAGAGTAAAAGAAAAAAAATCTTTCATTGGTATACAATCCCCCTCCCCACCCCCGCTTTCGACCCCAAGTCCACTCCACTCCACTCCACTATGCAGCCTTCATTCTGGACTCCTGTCACGACAATAATACCTAATCATGTATCCCTTTTAAACAGTTCTCTCCCTCATCTGTTTCAATGCAGTATACATAATTTATCCCATCTTTCTCAGTCTAACCCCAACCATGATGTCAAGTCCCTTCCTACAACAGTGGCACCATGCAGTATTTGTCCTTATGTGACTGAGATACCAACCGGGCTTTTAAGAAGGTACACTGAAGACGTAGTGCATTACATGTGGGGCTGCTAACTGAAAGATTAGTGTTCAAATCCATGAGCTGCTTTGAAGGACAAAGAGAGGCAAACTCCTGCCATAAATATTTACAGCCTGAAGCTAATGGAGTCTCGCCTTGAGTTGGGATTGATTTGGCCACCAGCATGTTTGGTTTGTCTGTTTTCTTTAAAAATAGCCTTTGAAGGGAGCTGATTAGGAATATTTCTCCTATTTAAAAACCATGAATTAGGGAGCTCTGGCGGCTTAGTGTCAAGAAGCTACACTGCAATCCCAGAGGCGCATGGTTTGAATCCACCAGATGCTGTGCTGGAAAAGGAGGGGCAATCTCCTCCTGTACCAGTCAGATCTGATTTGACCATACATACAATAAAAAATAAAATAAAAAAAACCAAACAAACCATGAATTGTCTTGTGACAGAACCAAATAGATCAACTTGAATATCAACTCAACTCATTGTCATCCGAGCAGAATGAACTCATAGCTGACCCTCCAGAGGGTTTTTGGAGGCTATAAATCACAAAGAAGATATTTCCCACCTTACTCCTAAGGAGTTGCTGGTGGATTTGAACTAGCCATCTCTGGTTTGGTGTTGTTGTTAGGTGCCATCGAGTTGAGTATGACTCATAGCAACTATGAGTGATGGGTCTGAACCTCGTGCAAGCCTGTGCCATCCTCACACTTCCTGACACACTAGAGTCCACTGCAGCAGCCACTGTGTCAATCCCCCTGGTCAACGGTCTTCCTCTTCTTTGCTGACCCTCCACCCTTCCAAGCATCATGTCCCTCTCCAAAGAACAGCCCTTCCTAGCAACATGCCTGAATTACATGAGGCAAAGTCTCACCATTCTTGCCTCCACAGAGCACCCTGGCTGCAGCCTCTCCAAGACATATCTGTTGGTTCTTTTGTCTATGGGATATTCAGTGCTCTTCTTCAATACCACAGTTCAAAGGCATCAATCCTTCTCTGTCATCCCTATCCATTGTCCAGCTCTCAGATGTATAGTAAGTGATCGGAAAAACCATGGCCTAAATCAGACACACCTTGTCATTCCTTAGTAAACAGCTAGTCAGAGTGCCTCTGTGTTATAACTAGAGAGCACATTTGTCAACATCACCTAGCAATTCAGTTCACAGTCACAAGGGAGGACATACTGGGTTCCAGGACATATTGTTGTTGTTGAGCTGGAAATGACTCAAAGCTGGACCCACTAAGCAGATTTTCCGAGGCTGTAAGATGCCTGGGAGGAGACTGCCCATCTTTCTCTCACAGAGCAGCTGGCGGATTTGAACTTCATGTCCTTGGGCTGGCAGCACAATGCCTTACCATTAAGTGACTGGGATTCTTAACTGCAGCTCATGGCTAACCCATTTTAGCTAATTTGGTTCTTGCGACAATTCTGACAGCTTGTTGCTGTTATGTGCCATCGAGTCACCTGTGACCTATAGCAACACTGTGTACAGCAGCTCTGAATCCTGCCCTGTCCTGAGCCAGTCTAATTCTGACACACCAACACCCATTGTCCCAGTTACTGTATCAATCTATCTCATCTGGGGTCTTCCTTTCCTGCGCTGTCTGCCCATCCTTCTAAGCATCATGTCCTTCTCCAAGGACTGGTCTTTTCTGGCCACATGCCCAAAGTATGTGAGATAGAGCTTCAAATTCCTAGCCTCCAAGGAGAAACTTGGTTTCACCCTCTCCAAGACAGACCTATTTGTTTTTTGGCGGTCCACGGTATGTTCAAGACTATTATTCAGCATCACAATTCGAAAGCATTGATTCTTCTTCTGTCGTCCTGAGTCACTGCCCAGCTCTCTGAAACGTAACAAGTAATTGCAAAGACCCTGGCCTGGATTAGGTGCACCTTAGTCTCTAGATTGAATTGTTGCCTTTCAGCACTCTGGAGAGGTCCTTGACAACAGATTTTCCCAGAGCAATTTGTCTTTTGATTTCCTGACTGCTGCTGCCGAAAGTGTTGATTGTGGAGCCAGGCAAGCTGAAATAGTTAACAACCTCAACCTCTTCTCCATCTATCATGGTGCTGCCAACTGGCCCAGTGTTAAGAATATGTCTTCTTGATGTTGAGCTTCAATTTATATTGAAGTCTACAGTCCTTGACCTTCTGCAGCAAGCGCTTCAGGTCCTGAATTCTGACAGGTAGGATTACCCCTCCCCCTATTTTATAGAAGAGGGGAAGCTCCCACCTCCCCAAACTCTGAAGGTTAAAAAGGTTTGCTGATTACCCTGAGATTACGCAGCTATTAAACTGGAATAATATTCCCGTCTCTGAGTCCAAAGGGCAAGGGAGCCCCGTCTCACATACTCTGTGCATGTGTCAGGAGGCCCTAGACCTTGGAGAGGGACATAATGCTTGGAAGGGTGCAGGGACCTTGCAGGAGAGGAAGACCCGTGATGAGATGCATTGACTCTGTGGCTGGAGAAATGGGATTAGGTCTATTGGAGAAAATGAGATTGGCTGAGGACAGGGCAGGGTTCAGAGCTAATGCACATGGGGTCACTATGAATTGCAGGTGACTCGATGGCACATAACAGCAACAACAACAATTGTAGTGGCAGTAGAAACTCCTATAATAAAAAGAGTGCCCTGAGCAGGAGAGGAAAGAAAGATCATTATTCTCTATCAGAGTTGGTGGTTTTCAGCTAGTCCTGCTTGGTCATGCGTGGGCTTCCATCCTCACCCTTCACGTTTGCTTTAGGAAGTAGAAGATACACCATGCTTACCAGTTTGGGTGTGAAGTGAGAGAAGGTCTTACAAATTACTTTGCAGAAATCTCAGTCTTGGCACATTGAGGTCAGAAAGAGAGGCTGTATGAAGAGGTCAGGGCCTGATAACAGGAAAAAGCTTTTTTGGTTTTGACTTCCCAGTTTCCGGTTTCCTAGGACAGACCAGAAGAGGGAGTGGGATGCTTGGCCGGACTCTCCCAGGGATCGGCCAGGCCAGGCTTGCCGCTCTGGAGCTGCCACAGTTTACCAGGAGGCCTGAGGCTGTATTATAGGGCTGGTGGGTGGGGGTGTCTAGATGGGGGTGTGCCAAGTCTCCCTGAG